CTTTGGCCACTGGAGTGGGGACAGCTCACGGTAACTGGAAACTGTGCTTTATGTAGAGAATGTGTAAAATCACGGCCGGAAACAGGAAGTATGAGTAAATCAACTTGCAGTCTTTCCTGAAGCAGAGAATCCCCTGGAGAGCACGTGGAGGCTGATGCCGGGTTTCTAAAGATGATTTCTTGAGACAGATGTGTTGTACATGTCTAAGGCTCCCCATCCTCTCAAATATTATCTCATCTATTACATATCCTGTTCTCTTATTGTGACCTTCGGCCAGAATCTTTTGCAATTCTGTGGAAGCTTACCATCATTACTGTGTCCTTGTAAATTTCTGTATTTGTCATTTTCCTCTGGAGAACTGTCCTTGTGGTGAGTACTGAAGTACCTTACAGATACACTTTTTAAAAAATATTTTTTTATTTATTTCAAAGAGGAAGAGAGAGAAACATCAATAATGAGCCCTAGCTGTTTTGGCTCAGTGAATAGAGCGTTGGCCTGCAGACTAAAGGGTCCCAGGTTTGATTCCAGTCAAGGGCACATGCCCGGGTTGTGGGCTTGATCCTCATTAGGAGGCAGCCAATCAGTGATTCTCTGTCATCATTGATATTTCTATCTCTCTCCTCCCTTCCTCTCTGAAATCGTTAAGAATATTTTTAAAAAAAGAAACATCAATGATGAGAATCATTGATTGGCTGCCTCCTGCACGCCCCACACTGGGGATCAAGCCCGAAACCCAGGTATGTGCCCTGACCTGGAATCGAACCTGGGACCCTTCAGTCCACAGGCTGATGCTCTATCTGCTGAGCCAAACCGGCTAGGGCTACAGATACATAAATAAGCACAAACATTTATGCCACTGGACTCTTTATTTGCATTCAGCGCTGTACATCACCCTCTGAGCACGGATTCTGCTGAACATACGGCACAGCAGCCCTTCCGGAGGCAGCCTGGGGCTCTAGACCAGCAATGGCGAACCTATGTGACGCGTGTCAGAGGTGACACACGAACTCATTTTTTTGGTTGATTTTTCTTTCTTAAATGGCATTTAAATATATAAAGTAAATATCAAAAATATGTCTTTGTTTTACTATGGTTGCAAATATCAAAAAATTTCTATATGTGACACGGCACCAGAGTTAAGTTAGGGTTTTTCAAAATGCTGACACGCCGAGCTCAGAAGGTTCGCCATCACTGGTTTAGGCAAACCAGGAGGCCACCTGAGGAGGAGGCCAAGTCCTCCCACAGCAGCTACATTCCAGCCAGGACCCCACTTTGTGATCCTGGTTGTCCAAACCAGCACAGTGACCCTTAGCTTCCAAATGGGCAGCTCATGCTCCCCACAGGCCACCCACGTGGACTCTGTCACCTCTTCCCAGGGAGACACCCTGACCACCCTGTCTTCTCCTTCCCCGAGTTCCTGCCACCTGCCCTTGCCATTGTGGCCCAGTCGTTGTGGGATATCATCCACTAGAACGCCAGTTCCCACGGGCAGGGGACTCTGTATTTCCAGGGTCTGGGACAGTTGGGCTCAACAGTGTCCATGCCCTTGGACCTTCATCTCATCTGTGCCCGCCCTTGGGTGGGCCCCGTCAATCCAACCAGATGCAAGTTCTCATCACCAGAGCCTATCCTCAGCCCTCCCACCCAAAGACCCTGCCCCCATGTGCTGACAGAAAACACCCTCACCAACCGTGGGCTCGTCCCCCACCTCTGCTTCCTCAACCACACCCCCCGGCAGTACGTCGTCCCCCAGATTCCAGGACTATCACCTCATCTCAGAAGCAGGGGTCTCCTCTGCACAGGCCAAACATAGGGAAGTGGGCACACGACCCACAACACCCCCCTCTCCCTCCAGGGGGTACCATATTGAGACCAAGCCTCACCATCTGGAACCGCATGTTTTGTGGAAGGTTCTCACCATTGAGAATGTACAGCACCATTTCCTGA